ACAACCCCACTGAGTGAACATCTCCATCTATAACCTGATCACCCAACCCAGTGGTTGCCACGGGTGATGCTTTGTTGTGGGCATGTTCCGCCTCCGCCCCTCCCCCGGAGTGTAATGATGCGACCATCACCGTGGTAACCCCCCGAGGAGAAAGGAGGGAGAGAGAGAGAGGGATGATTAGGAGGTTTGACATGGAACGCTGTCTGGGGGGAACCACAACATTCTCAGGATTAGTGTTAGGGGCGGAGACTCATAACTCAATCAGTGTGTGTGTCTGTGTGTGTGTTGGGGAGCCATCTGTTCATAGGTGAGTGTGATATAAGCACTCACAGCATCCAAGGGGATGATGATGGTGATGATGGTGATGATAATGTTAAGGGTTTTCACCCCCACTGGCAAAACACAATCTGCTCTGACATCTTGTGACACTTTGTTTCTAATGAAAGGTAGGCCTACATTTGCTGCAGCATAGCCTATGCTACATTAATATAAGGACTGAATGCACGTCTAATTTACACATCTCCATCTGGCTTTCGGGGGTCACCTTATTTTTTTATTGTTAAGATACCGTTTTTTAAATTGCAGCTGTAGAGTTTTAAAATAGCGTATCACTCGAATATTGTTGCTTTAAATCAGTGTGCACACGAGCACTCTCTCACATTCTTTCTCTCTCCATTGATTCTATTCAAATTGCATCCAAAATGTCCTAGCCTACCCCTTCCAGGTAATACATTCAATGCAGTATTAGCCTTATACTGTATTTAGCTAATGAATGATGGGTTATGCATAAGCTTCTAACTTTAGCCTTTGTCTCTTGGGCAATATGCACCTGCGTATGGCTCATCAGGCTCAGGTAGCATAAGGCTTGAATTTTCTTGACAATCAAAGCTCTAATCAAATGTGCTTTAGAATTACACTTCCGGTTTTGGCGGGATATACCGGTGTTACCCGGGAGAAAAGGGATTTATTCTTGCGATGGAAGATTTGTAAAATACCGGGAAAATATTCAACCCTACTGTGCACATGCTATAAACATAATGTCGGCTTGAAAGTATCGATACATTAGCCAAACCCTTTCATTAGTTTATCATACATAATACTGTATGTGAATAACAATACAGTACATGCTGGTCTTTTTCCAGTTATAGAGAGCTGTGATTGTAAATAAGCATCTCTCTGTGAGGAACTATGACATTCCGCTCTCAATTTGTGCATCATTCCATTAGAGAAGTAGTTGGTTGGATGCCTTCACTGATGTAAACACTAACAGTGGGTGCTGATTGGCTATGATCTGCACTTTAATTCGCCAGAGAGGCCTTTGATTTGACGTGATCGGAGGTGACAGCTTGTGATAGGTGTTTTCCGCTCTTCTATGAAGAGGCCTCAAAAGAAGAAGCTTCTTTAGTGGGATTTCATCGTCATATGACTTGCTGCGTCTCAAATTGCACCCTATTCCCAATATAGTGCACTACTATTGACCAGGGCTCATGGGGCTCTGGTCAAAATGAGTGCACTATGTAGGGGTTAGGGTGGCATTTGGACAGAGATGCTGAATTGTTCCAGTGAAGTGAACTCCAATCAGAGAGAGAAGAGAAGAGAAGAGATGGCTGTGACGTGTTTATTTCCATTTAGATTGCAGCAGGGTCTAACATGCCTAATGCCGTCCAGCCAAGGTTTGTTTGTAGAACTACTACATGTGTTATTGACAATTTGCTGCGTGAATCTACACGCACGCACACCACCACTCATACACACACACTGGAACATACACACACACACACAGATAATCAACTCTTTCACAACCTTACACACACACTGGAACAAACACATATAGAAAGATAATCAACTCTTTCACAACCTTACACACACACTGGAACAAACACATATAGAAAGATAATCAACTCTTTCACAACCTTACACACACACTGGAACAAACACACACACACAAAGATAATCAACTCTTTCACAACCTTACACACACACTGGAACAAACACATATAGAAAGATAATCAACTCTTTCACAACCTTACACACACACTGGAACAAACACATATAGAAAGATAATCAACTCTTTCACAACCTTACACACACACTGGAACAAACACACACACACAAAGATAATCAACTCTTTCACAACCTTACACACACACTGGAACAAACACATATAGAAAGATAATCAACTCTTTCACAACCTTACACACACACTGGAACAAACACACACACACAAAGATAATCAACTCTTTCACAACCTTACACACACACTGGAACAAACACACACAGAAAGATAATCAACTCTTTCACAACCTTACACACACACTGGAACAAACGCATATAGAAAGATAATCAACTCTTTCACAACCTTACACACACACTGGAACAAACACATATACAAAGATTTTTACATTTTAGTCATTTAGCAGACGCTCTTATCCAGAGCAACTTTTTTTTATTTATTTTATTTAACCTTTATTTAACCAGGAAGGGCTCATTGAGATTTAAAATCTCTTTTTCAAGAGCGTCCTGGCCAAGATAGGCAGCACCAAGTCATTACAAAAAATTACAGACAGACAACATGAAAAACTACAAGTAATCTAGTAAAAACCATTCATGAATTCACAAGAATATAACAATATCAAAAATAGCAAATTAAAAACATTGACAGGTCAGGGAATCAGCCTCAAAATCCTTCATCAGAGATTTAAAAACACCAATCGGGACAAGTTCTTCCAGTTTAAAATTATTTTGTAAGGTGTTCCAAGACGATGGCGCAGAGTACATAAAAGACCTTTTACCAAATTCAGTTCGGACATTTGGAACAGTTAGCAGGATAAAGTCCAGTGAACGAAGAGAGTACCCACCACATTTCTGAACAATAAAAATGCCCAAATAAAAAGGTAGTAAACCCAAAATGGCTTTGTAAATAAAAGTATACCAGTGACTGAGCCTACGAGTGACTAGAGAAGGCCAGCCAACCCTGGTATACAAAGTACAGTGGTGCGTAAGGGTTTTGCAGTTTAAAATAAATCTCAAAGTACCATGATAAAGAGTGTCAATTGATCTCAAACACTGAGCGGAAGCATTCATATATAAAATATCCCCATAGTCTAGTAAAGGCATAAATGTAGCTGATACTAGCCTCCTTCTGGCTTCAAAAGAAAAACAGGCCTTATTCCTAAAATAAAATCCCAATTTCAGCTTCAATTTTTTTGTAAGTTGTTGAATATGCAATTTAAAAGAGAGGCCGTCATCAATTAGAATTCCAAGATATTTATATGAGGTTACAACCTCAATCTCCTTGCCCTGACAGGTAGTAACAGGTGAAAGGTTCAGAGGTCTATTTCTTGCATTAGAAAACACCATTAGTTTAGTTTTGTCAGTATTGAGGATAAGCTTCAATTGACACAAGGTATGTTGAACAGTATAAAAAGCAGTTTGCAAGTTCTGGAAAGCTTTTGTAAGAGATGAGGCACAACAGTAAATAACAGTATCATCAGCATAAAAATGAAGTTGTGCATTTTGGACATTTTTGTCTAAATCATTAATATAAATAGTGAATAAGAGAGGACCAAGTACAGAGCCCTGGGGCACACCATTCAGGACAGACAATTTAACAGACATAAGCCCATCAAATTGAGTGCACTGAGTTCTATCAGACAGATAGTTAGCAAACCATGCAACTGCATGCTCCGAAAGACCTACACTCAACAATCTCTGCCTTAGTATAGCATGATCAACTGTATCAAAAGCCTTAGAGAGATCAATAAAAAGTGAGACACAGTGCTGTTTTTTGTCAAGGGCTTCAGTGATATCATTTAAAACCTTCATGGCTGCTGTAATTGTGCTATGCTTCTTCCTGAAGCCCGATTGATACATTGATAAAATAGAGTTAGTAAATAAAAACTCTTTTAGCTGTTCACTTACAAGGGTTTCAAGTATTTTTACCAGGGGTGACAGCTTTGAGATTGGCCTATAATTATTTAAAAGAGTTGGATCTCCCCCTTTTAAAAGTGGTAGGACAAATGCTGACTTCCAGATCTTTGGAATTTCATTACATTCCAGGGTTAGATTGAACAGATATGTAAGTGGTTCAGCTATGAAATCAGCTGCCAGATTTAAAAAGCAGGGATCCAAAAGATCAGGACCTGCAGGCTTTCTTTGATATAAGGATTTCAGGGCTTTATGTACCACCTGCACTGAGAATGGCAGAAAACTAAAAGTTTGACCAGCTCTCACTGGTTCATCCATACAGGGTTGTACAGAGACAGAGGACACTGGTTCATCCACACAGGGTTGTACAGAGACAGAGGACACTGAATCAAACAGCCTACCAGATGATACAAAGTGCTCATTGAAACAATTCAGCATTTCAGTTTTGTCATATATAGCAACAGAGTCCTTCAAAACACATGACGGTAATTCATTAACATTACTGTTACCAGACATAGACTTAATAGCATTCCAAAACTTTCTAGGGTCATTCAGGTTATCAGTGGTAACAGACATAAAATATTCAGACTTGGCCTTCCTGAGAAGAAAAGAACACTTGTTTCTTAACTGCCTAAAAATAAGCCAATCAGCATCAGAACAAGATTTCCTTGCTTTAGCCCAGGCTAGATTACGGTCGTGAATAATACAAGACAGCTCAGAAGAAAACCATGGATTTACAGTTAGTGAGTGCATACATTTTCATACTGGCCCCCCGTGGGAATCGAACCCACAACCCTTGCGTTGCAAGCGCCATGCTCTACCAACTGAGCTACACAGGGCCAAACACACACCAACACACAGCCCTCCCTTCACTGGGGTAAAGGGGAGTCACACATGAGTAGGACAGTGTCTGGCAGATCATTCATCAACGTCAGCATGGACTCACGCCTCTGAGACTCCCTCTGCACACGCCGGACGGCCCACATGCTTCTGCTACTTCAGTGTGTGTGTGTGTGTGTGTGTGTGTGTGAGCATGTTATTTGTGTTTGTAGAACCCTGGCCTGCAGACTTGAATGTGGGGTGACACGAGTCACGGCCGACACAGGAGTCAGCGGTTTTGGGTCAGTGATGAGAGTGACGTGGCGGAACGCACAGGGTTAAATGCTCTGGCCCTCTCGATCCGTAGGGGCCGCCCCTCGATTAATGGGGAAACCCTCCGACCTGTTTCAGGGGCACGACAAAGCCCCTTGACAGCCCTCTTCAGACCCCTCTACAAGACCTTGTGTGTGGATCTTTTTGTAACAGAGGCAGGACAGCAGTACAGGGGTAGAAGAGTTGGGATAGTTTCCATGGCCATTCAGTCTGTACATTAATACCATTGTATTTGACTGACTGTCTGTATTAACATTTAATTCACCTCAATTCCACAGTTTCAGCAATATGGCAAGGCCTAGTTGTGAACCATTCAATAGACAACATCCACTGGGCACAGATGTCAGTTTAACGTCTAGTTTTGATTTACATTTGGTTGAGTTGTCAACTAACGTGAATTCAATGTGAAATCAACCAAAAATGTCACCATGGTATTGGATTTAGGTTAAAAGTTGGGTGACTTTTTTTGCAAATCTAATCCGTTTTCCACTTTGATTCAACATCATCACATAGATGTTTGGGATTTAAATTACTTAGAAACGACATTGATTCAACAAGTTTTTGCCCAGTGGCATCATGGCAGCTTTTAAGTTATTTTGACTATTTCACTCAGGACACCCTGATGCACTCAAGGTCCAAAAATGCTAAATATGTCCTCTATCATCACAGTCAGTGAGAGTAATGAGAAAAACTCTCCCTAAGATCAGTCTCTTTAAATGAAGATTACTACTGTACTATTATCACACTAGAGGCTCAAAGTCATCAAGGACACATCCCGCCCCTGCTCTCGCCTCCATTCAGGAGTGTTTAGAACTCTAATAACTGCTATTATCACCAGCTCAGGCGTTTCTATGGTGATGCCACTGCATTAACGGCGGCTGTAGCCAATGAGACAATAGTCTGAGTGCTCACTGTGCCCTGTTTTCATCATTAGCTCTCAGAGATTGTGCCTTTCACTCTCTCTGAAGGAATTTACACTGGTAAATCACTGAATTTCTAGAGCCATTTTGTGTATCGCCGGCCTCAATTCAATTTTCTTTCAGCTAGGCCCCGACACAAAATAGAAGAGAAAGAAGTGCAAGCCAGCCATGTTTCAGTGTGTATGTGTGTGTGCTTTGGTTTTAATGCATTTGGTAGAGGAATGATGGAGAGAGTGGAGTGTGACTGCTTAAAGCTAGAGTGTTTGTGGAAAGAGAGTGAGTTGTCAATAAAGTTGTCTCGTGGGAGAAGTTTTGCCAGCCCCCAGAATGCATTTCGTCTCCTCCGCGTGTGACAGTTAAATAAGATGGAGAGGTCCCACTGTTTGTCAAGACCCCTGTGAATGATCTCTCTCTTTCCCTTTCTCTCTTGCTCTCTCTCTTCGTCCCTCTCTCTCTCTCTCTCTCCTTCTCTCAATCTGCGGCCCTTGATGACTTTGTAATGATTTCTGCTGCAACGACGAATGGTTATGTTAAATGAGCAGAGTCAGACAAGGCGAGCAGAGCCAGAGCATTTGTTCCAGGATTAATGGATCTGGGATCCATTGTTTACCGTCCCCGTTCCTGACCTGCTGATATCCAGCCTCACTAACTCTTAGTAGGAGGAGAGAGAATACTGGACTTAGTGTTCAAACACCAAGGAAAGAGTGAAAGAAAGAGAAACAGAGAGGGAGAGAGAAAGAGAGGGAGAAAGAGAGAGAGAGGCCTAAAGGGAAAGATTTCTGTCTAGTGTTCATCTTTCTTGTAGGTTTTTTAGCAGCTGAAGGTGATTTTAAAGTGAAAGCAAACAATTGTATGACTGATTCATTGGAGTTGGCTTTAGTTCTTGCCCAATAGCAGGATGGTTATCATCTCCTTGGCTCTCACAGCAACTCCTTCCATCGTCTCTGTGATGACAAATATAGAAAGTCCTCTTCCTGGCTCCATCACACACTCACTGGGGTTTCTGGTGTGTGTGTGTGTCTCTGTTTGTGTGTGTGTGTGTGTATCTGTGTGTGTTCAACTGTGCGTGTGCCTGTATGTCTGCTTGTGTCTAGAAGTGCCAGCCCTCCCCTACTGTGTGAAGGGGTCCCTGCTCTCCTCCGTCATGCTGGCAGGGGGCCGTGGGCAATGGGACTGGGGGGGGGGTCCCCTGGCGGAGTTTCATGACAGGGACCAGCCTTGTGGAGCTCTGGGTATGGGCAGCACTACAGATCATTACCCCCAAACAGGGAGAGGGACCAGGGGCAGCCAGGAAATCCCTTTAATCAGTAACTACCCTGTTCAGGCCACTGCTGCCCCCCCGCTGACTACCACCCTGCTACTTTGCCAGAGGGCATCTTCAAAAAGTGTAAAAAGTGGTTACGGCTGCTGCCACTGCTAACCACTAAAATTTACATTTTACATTTTAGTCATTAGCAGACGCTCTTAAACCAGAGCGACTTACAGTTAGTGCATACATATTTTTATTTGTTATATATATATATATATTATTTTTATACCCCCTGTGGGAAACGAACCCACAACCCAGGCGTTGCAAACGCTTGAGCTACACTACTGCTGCTGCTGCTTCTAGACTAGCGGTTAGCACTGCCGTGGCTAATGTTAGTGAGTTTCAATGGACCACTCCACTGTGTGCACTAGTATATGTCTTTATTGGAATCAAACACACTTTGTCTTGGTTTTGACCCACAAAAAACTCACACCAAATCCTTTGGTGCTAAGAAATTCATTTTTATTGATAAAATACCAGAAGAAATGACTACAGGTCTGACCACTTCTTATCCAGTTGCAAGAATGGACAGACCTGTAAAGAGCACAGGGAGAGGGGTCAGCTGAATATGTCAGGTTTCATTTAAAAGACAGTGGTGACAGTGTGGGAAGTCAGCTCTTATGGCGGTTTATGACGTGGATTATGTCAATTCTATGACAACATTATATACAAAAGAATTGTGGACACCCCTTCAAATTAGTGGATTCTGCTATTTTTAGCCACAACCGTTGCTGACAGGTGTATAAAATCTAGCACACAGCCATGCAATCTCCATAGACAAACATTGTCAGTAGAATGGCCTTACTGAAGAGCTCAGTGACTTTCAACGTGGCACCATCATAGGATGCCACTTTTCCAACAAGTCAGTTTGTCAAATTTCTGCCCTACTAGAGCTGCCCCTCCAACTGTAAGTTCTGTTATTGTGAAGTGGAAACGTCTAGGAGCAACAACGGCTCAGCCGCGAAGTGGACCACCGAGTGCTGAAGCGTGTAGCGCGTAAAAATTGTCTGTCCTCTTTTGCAACACTACCGAGTTCCAAACTGCCTCTGGAAGCAACGTCAGCACAATAACTGTTCGTCGGGAGCTTCATGAAATTGGTTTCCATTGCCGAGCAGCCGCACACAAGCCTAAGATGTGGTCCTCTGTAGCTCAGCTGGTAGAGCAAGGCGCTTGTAACGCCAAGGTAGTGGGTTCGATCCCCGGGACCACCCATACACTAATTATACACCTGTCAGCAACGGTTGTGGCTAAAAATAGCAGAATCCATTAATTTGAAGGGGTGTCCACATACCTTTGTATATATATAGCCTCATCTCTGGTTAAGAAATGACCGACCTGCTCTGGACACTATGGCCAGTCTTTCATTAAGAACTTTTACCATAGCAAAGATATCACAAATGATTTGTTTGAGCTGTGCATGGTAACAGAGGACAACGTTTCCAATCTACTATGCTTAATGAGCACAAACAAAGCAACTGGGCTGGATAACCTTCCTTCAAGATTCATAAAGGATAGTGCTTGTGTCACTGCTAAAATGATAACGCATATTGTAAACCTTTCTATTAGTAGTGGTACATTTCCCAATGATCTCTAAACAGCCCGGGTGGTTCCACTCCACAAGAAGAGCAGTAAAACAAATGTAGGAAGCTACAGGCCTGTGTCGATCCTCTGCACCTTATCCAAAGTTGTTGAGAGATTAGCTTTTAATCAACTTGAGGGATACCTTCTCGAGCACAAACTTCTTTATGAACTCCAATCTGGCTTTAGAACAGCTCATTCCACTAATACCTGCCTTATCCACCTTTTTGACCATATCAAGCAGGAAAGTGAGAAGGGGAACTATACAGATATGGTCATGTTAGACTTGCAGAAAGCTTTTGACACTGTGGACCATGATATTCTCCTGATGAAACTGAAATGCATGGGTCTAAATGATGTAACACAGAGTTGGTTTAGGTCTTATCTGACCAACAGAACACAAGTATGTAATGTTGGTGATGTTCTGTCAGAGGCCAAAGAAATATCCTGTGGAGTACCGCAGGGATCAATTTTAGGGCCTCTCTTATTTCTCATATATGTTAATGATATGCCAGATACAGTAAAGTGCAAACTCCTGCTTTATGCTGATGACTCAGCCATACTGGTATCAGGGAAGGATACAGTTTACATAGAGGAGACCCTGAGTAAGGAATTGCATTTTGTTAGAGATTGGTTGACTGACAACAAATTGTTGCTACATTTGGGAAAAGCTGAATGGATTTTGTTTGGAACAAAACGTAGATTGCTTAGGGCTGACAAGATAAAGGTAAACTGTGCAGGCAAGGATATTTAATCTAAAACAAGTGTAACTTATCTTGGTGTGTCCATAGATCAATCCCTTTCTGGAGACCTGATTGCTGCAAAAATTATTTCTAAAATGGCGAACAAACTGAAATGTTTATAACGTAACACTAGATATTTTAACATCAAAGTTAAGAAACTGCTTGTCTCAACCTTGATTCAGTTTAATTTTGATTATGCATGCTCTGCTTGGTATAGTGGGTTAACCGAAAAGCTGAAAAAGAGAATTTGTTTCATGCAACATAATGTTATCAGGTAAATGCTGAATGTCCCCCTAGGACCCACATAGGGGTACAGGAGTTCTGAATGTCCCCCTAGGACCCACATAGGGGTACAGGAGTTCCGGGAGGTGGGCTTGTTGCCTTTGGACTCCAGAGTGGACCAACTTAAACTTAATCATATGTTTGACATCTTAAATGATTGTGCTCCAGGTTATATGAAAAAACATGTTGATATGGTCTATAACCAACACAGTTACAATACCAGAGCAGGTGTTATGTCTTGTAAAATCCCTAGAGCAAACAGTACTGCGAGAAGCACGTTTCTCTATACAGGCTTTTGTCTATGAAATAGCCTCCCCTTGGAGATCAAGCAAATAAAAAGTAGAAATAGCTTTAAAAAGCAGGCAAAGGTTTTCATTTGGACAAGTTTGTCTTAGTAAGAGAAACCACTCCACTGCCCCTTCTGCCCCCTACTGCTGGTCAGGTGTATATATATATATATATATATATATATATATTATTTTATTTTTTTTGTCATTTAGCAGACGCTCTTATCCAGAGCGACTTACAGTTAGTGAGTGCATACATTATTTTTTTTAAAATGTTATAGTCCCGTGGGAATCGAACCCACAACCCTGGCGTTGCAAACGCCATGCTCTACCAACTGAGCTACATCCTGGACAACGCTGGGCCAATTGTGCGCCGCCCCATGGCGTTTGCGATGAATTGCAACGCCGACTGCGAGCCAGGCCTAATCGCCCAACATCAGTGCCTGACCTCACTAATGCTCTTGTGGCTGAATGGAAGCAAGTCCCCGCAGCAATGTTCCAACATCTAGTGGAAAGCCTTCCCAGAAGAGTGGAGGCTGTTATAGCAGCAAAGGGGGGACCAACTCCATATTAATGGCCATGATTTTGGAACGAGATGTTCGACGAGCAGATGTCCAAATGCTTTTGGTCATGTAGTGTAGGTCTGTGGCAGTGGTGTCAAGTTTGGTGTGTGTATTGAAGTGTCTGCTTCCGTCCTGCTATTTGTAACGCTACTCTGGCTAACCTGTAATGACTGTAGTTTTGACAGAGCTCGCTTGGGGCTCTTGTCGTTCGTGCAGGCATAAGTACACACACACACACTCACCTGATCTCTCTCACTCACACACACACCTCCTGCCACTCCTCTGACACGGCGGTATATCGTTGACAATGACAAGCTCCCAACAGCATCCACTCCCTGACAGGAGAATATAAAGTCATTGTATTAGATTTGTTGCCTGCTGACGGCTTTGCACATCGGACAGGAGAGACCTGACAGTCCCCCTCAACACTGGTGTTACACTACTTCAGGAGCCATATCATTTTCTGCTCCCCTTCTAGTGGCTGTAAAGAGAGAACTACGTCCCAAATTGCACCCTATCCCCTATACAGTGCACTACTTTTGTCCAGAGCCCTGGGCCCTGGTCAAAAGTAGCGCACTATATAGGGAATAGGGTGTCATTTGGGACTCAGTGATATGTTTCCTGGGTAAGTGAGGACAAGGGAGTGGCTGAATTACAAGTATCACTGGGCTCAGAGCTGAGGCGTCCGTGACAGTGACAGTTTTGTGGTTGAAATGAAAAATGTTATGTTGGTTGAGGTTAGGACTTTTTTTATTCAACACTTTGTCACATTGTCAAACCACAACATGTTTCATATTTCTTTTTTTATTTGATATTTCATTTTTTATAATCAGAACAAAGAAAAAACGAGTGTCTATAACTATTAACAGCTGAAACATATTCTCTCCCTCTCTCCATGTAAGGAGATTTATTATTTCTGCCTGAAATGAAACATTTCATGTATAATTATGAATGTATTAACCCTGTATTTCTCTGTGTCCTCTCCAGAGCACAGTGGTAGTGGAGAAGTCCATCCAGGACCTGATGACTCTGATGCAGGACCTGAGTGCCTACTCCAACCAGTTCCTGGAGATGGTCTGTGACAAGCTGAAGGAGTACAAGGAGATCTGCAATACCGCATACAGGTAAGAGTTAGACTGGTCTGTGACAAGCTGAAGGAGTACAAGGAGATCTGCAACACCTCATACAGGTAAGAGTTAGACTGTCTCAGGCCCAGTGCAAGCATGAGGAAAGTGGGTCCTCTCTTCCTTGCTAGAAGGTATAGAAACTGAAACTGTCATTTCACTCAGTTTATTGTGGTTGAGGGTATATTGGGTGTCAGCAGTGCTCTCTCTCTCTGACATACACACACACCTGTGTTGTGCTTGTCTTCATCGGGCTGAACCCCAGAGAGATTTAGGCTGACCTTTAACCTTGTGCAAATAAGAACCCAGCTCTCTGCCCCTTTAACCCTCCTCTACCCCTCCATCCTCTACCCCTCTACCTCTCCTCTACCCCTCCTCACCCCCTCAAACCCCCCTACCCCTCCCCCTACCCCCTCTACCTTCCCTACCCTCCATCCTCTAACCCCTCAACCCTCCTCTACCCCTCCATCCTCTACCCCTAACCCTCCTCTACCCCTCCTCCTCTACCCCTCTAACCCTCCTCTACCCCTCCATCCTCTACCCCTCCATCCTCTACCCCCTAACCCTCCTCTACCCCTCCATCCTCTACCCCTCTAACCCTCCTCTACCCATCCATCCTCTACTCCTCCCTCCTCTACCCCTCTACCTCTCCTCTACCTCTCCTCTACCCTTCCATCCTCTACCCCTCTACCTCTCCTCTACTCCTCCATCCTCTACCCCTCTACCTCTCCCTCTACTCCTCCATCCTCTACCCCCTACCTCTCCTCTACTCCTCTCCTCTACCCCTCTACCTCTCCTCTACTCCTCCATCCTCTACCCCTCTACCTCTCCTCTACCCTTCCATCCTCTACCCCTCTACCTCTCCTCTACCCTTCCAGCCTCTACCCCTCTACCTCTCACCTGACCAGGTGTTACTCCCTGCTGTGGGTGTGGAAACACTGTGCCTCAGTTAGCTGCTGTGTGTTTATGGAGGGGTTATCTGGAACTCAAGCACTGATCCAAAGTGCTGAGCTAAACAGTTATCCTCCCACATGCAGGCAATCTGTCTCCATCCAACCTCATGCTATGCCATCTGTACTATACAGTTGATGATCTCTCTCTGCCCTCTGTCCCAGGGGCATAGTCCAGTGTGAGGAGAAGCTGACCATCAGTGCATCGTGGTCTAAGGACGAGGACATAAGCCGACTGCTCCAGTCTCTGCCCAACTGGGCTAACATGGCCCAGCCCAGACAGCTCCGACAGAAGAGAGAGGACGAAGAGGACTTCACCAGGTGACACACACACACATACACACACACACACATACACACACACACACACACACACACACACACACAGAAAAGTATCCTCACCCTCCCCCTCCACCCCTTCATCAAGCATGTTGTGATTGAACGAGACAGCGATGTAAAATAAGTAGTTGATTGCTCCATAAGGATGCATTTGGCAGTTAAAAACCTATCTGTCCAGCGCATTGGATTTAAATGCAAGGATAAGCTTTTAGGCTTTTTTAATTTGAGTCACAGCCACATACATTTTCAACATTCTTTGGAGGGATTAGAGGCTCCACGTCTGGTAACCCAGCTCTCCTTTTGATAAAGCTCCAGTAATAAGGTGCTTGTTTGGAACAAGTCATTCAGTTCTCTTTCCCCCCTCTCTCTCTCTCTCTCTCTCTCTCTCTCTCTCTCTCTCTCTCTCCTCTGCCTTTCATTTTCTCAGTTTTCTCCTCTCTCTCTCTCTCCTCTCAGCTCTCTCTCTCTCTCTCTCTCTCTCTCTCTCTCTCTCTCTCTCTCTCTCTCTCTCTCTCTCTCTCTCTTTCTCTCTTTCGAGTTTTGATATTGAAGTGAATTCACCAAGGCTGCTAGTCGCTAGTCACACAAAATATGAGGATATTCTTTGTGGCAGCAACAATTTGATGTCTTCTCCTCAAGGCTGTGTTCTTGTCAAGTGTCTGCCAGCATGTGTAGAGTCTGAAACGTCACATTGCCTTAAAATAGAGCTCTCTCTCTTTCTCACTCTCTCTCACACACACACACACACACACACACACACACACACACACACACACACACACACACACACACACACACACACACACACACACAGTTCAGTCTTCTCTCTCTCTCCCCTTCCCTGTAGTTCTTGCTCCTACTCCAGTTACTAGCTAGTCATTGGGCCTGTGGTGACTGAACTAAGTCTGTCAGTCAGTCCTAAATAAAAGTGTAGGTCATTACTGGAAGCCCAAGGCCTCATTGAGATGCATGCTGGAGTTGATGTGACTGGTCTGTCTGTCCAGGGTCCAGCTCCACACTGTGCCAGCCATCCTCTGTGCAGGGGACCGTGGGATGGTTATTATAGTCCCCTCTAATCCTCCTCACCCCCCAATAAATGTCCTTCTCCTTTTCACTGTCCTCCTGCCTTCCACTGCAGTCCTCTACTTCGTTCTGGGGAATCCTTATCTGGAGCTGTTCGCAGCTTTTAAGCCCCTGCTCTTAAAGGGTTAATGCATTACCTATATCCAGAAGAAAAACCCTTATCTCTCTAACCTGGTCTCAGATCTTCCGATCTCCTATTGTCATTAATACGCCAAACAATGACCAAAGGATTTGGCAAGATGGGACAAACAGATCTGGGACCAGGCTAACCCTTGTTTGAATATCAGGCAGTTAGTTCAAACAGATCTTGTAAAAGGCTAACCCTTGTTTGAATATCAGGCAGTTAGTTCAAACAGATCTGGGACCAGGCTAACCCTTGTTTGAATATCAGGCAGTTAGTTCAAACAGATCTTGTACCAGGCTAACCCTTGTTTGAATATCAGGCAGTTAGTACAAACAGATCTGGGACCAGGCTAACCCTTGTTTGAATATCAGGCAGTTAGTTCAAGCAGATCTGGGACCAGCCTAACCCTTGTTTGAATATCAAGCAGTTAGTTCAAACAGATCTTGTACCAGGCTAACCCTTGTTTGAATATCAGGCAGTTAGTTCAAACAGATCTGGCCCTTGTTTGAATATCAGGCAGTTAGTTCAAGCAGATCTGGGACCAGGCTAACCATGGTTTGAATATCAGGCAGTTAGTTCAAGCAGATCTGGGACCAGGCTAACCCTTGTTTGAATATCAGGCAGTTAGTTCAAGCAGATCTTGTACCAGGCTAACCCTTGTTTGAATATCAGGCAGTTAGTTCAAGCAGATCTGGGACCAGGCTAACCCTTGTTTGAATATCAGGCAGTTAGTTCAAGCAGATATGGGACCAGCCTAACCCTTGTTTGAATATCAGGCAGTTAGTTCAAACAGATCTTGTACCAGGCTAACCCTTGTTTGAATATCAGGCAGTTAGTTCAAACAGATCTGGGACCAGGCTAACCCTTGTTTGAATATCAGGCGGTTAGTTCAAACTACTCTCATTACATTTTAGAACCTGTCTAGAACTTGTCACATTGATTGATTTAGTCTAATAGACCTTCTTTCACTCCCCTCCTCTCCCTCTCCCTCTCCCATCCCCTCCCTCCAGGGCGGCGTTTGCCAAGGAGTCTGAGGTGCTAACGGGTAACCTAGGTGACAAGCTGATCCCGCAGAACGAGATCCTGCGTGACGTGAGCGACCTGAAGGCTCTGGCCAACCTGCAGGAGAGCATGGAGTGGCTGGCCTCCAGACTCAAAGGCTTCTTCATCAACCTGCCCCACGCTGCCAGTGAGTACACACACATAGGCAGACACGCATACATACACACACACCTTATGGCTTCTACACATGCAGGGTTAGCGGGGTGTGCGTGGGGAGGGGTGCAGGGGTGAGGTGTGTGTGTAGATTGAAGGGCTGCTTGTTCAACACCTGTCCTACACAGCCAATGAATGAACAGTATGCAACACAAGCGGGGGTTCCATATTGCTAACATGGACTGTCTAGCATGACTGCACATACTGCCACTAGTATACACATCCACTCCCAACGGCATGTGTATGTACACGCTGTAGTCTGACACCTTAAGAGTCATGATTTTATTTCGCTCCCTAGTAGCTGAAGTTATTTATTCTCTCAGTCACACACACACACACACACAGCAGTGGTTTTCCTCTCTGTCATTAAGAGTTTGCCTGAGTGAATTACCACAGTCTAATTAGACCCAGGTAGGAGGGCCTCCTGACACAAACACCACTTTATACACACTCTCATTAGCCCTGGAAGTGTGTGTGTGTGTGTGTGTGTGTGTGGTTTGTTTCAAAACTCTATCCCTGTCAAAAGCCTTTTACTCACTGTCATTACAGAGACCTCATTTATCACTGATCATACCATGGCTGTGTGTTCCATTGTCATTAGCAGGCTGAGTATGTTTCTGATCTTGTAATACAAGTCTTATGGTGTTGTGCCCATACACATAGAATCTCATTCTAATTCTACGGTTGTGCCGTCCTTCAATATGTCATCAAAACCTTGATGGTGAGGCTCAGACCACACTCAGAAGGGCTCAGAACACACACACACACACACACACACACACACACAAACACACAGAGAGAAAGGTCACAGCCCATCTTAAGCCAAGTGTTGCGATCACCTGTTCCAGAGCGTGAAAGTGACTGAGTTCTTCCCCTGTTGCTTCCCATGTCACATCTTTCATTTTACACCTATAAAAGTTCCCATTTCCTCTGTGAACTTCCCCTTTCTGAATGACTTAAATTAGGGATTTTCTTTCTATTGTTATTTTTGGGGGGAGAAAGAGGAGACAGTCAGAGCGCTGTTCCTTCCTCCTCGGCAGCTCAGATAAGAATTAAATAAGAGAACAGGCGTTGAACGTGGCATAATTATCATTAATTCTGCCGAGTGGCATTAATGGAGTGTGTTTTATCATGGTGGGACAGCCACAGTATTGTTCATTATTTAGTGTTTGCCTAGGCTGATGGGGCTCGGCGCGGTACGGCGCAGGGAGAGAAAAAAAGCCTCCCTTCTTATCTCTCCGTTTCCCCACTCCTCCCTAAATTGGATTTCATATTACAGAGGTAGTCAGGTATGAACAAGTCATTTTCTCTCTCTTGTCTTCCTCGACTCGTACACGTTTTCTTCTCACTCTCTTTGCGGTGTAATGGCCGTGCTAGATTAAGGAGGCTTTCAGTCGGGGCGGCTGTCCTCTGGAGTGTGGTGCAGCCCTGTAGCACCCATGTTCCTCCATGGTAGTGGAACGAATGAACGACCTTGAAACAGATTCCAAACAGACCAGAGTCCTAGATAGAGTTTAGTCATTGAAGTTTCTACCAAAAGCATTATGATGCATAATGCATTTACATGACACCACATCATTTGATTGATTGATTTAATTTATTGGATAATTAACAGTCAACATCAACAATCAACATTACATACATTAAACACCAGGCTTATTTCCATTGTGGTCCTCAATTCCCATTCTCTGATAGGGCTGTTTCAGGCAGGAAGTGTTGGACTGCAGTGTCATTCTCCTTCCTGTGTGATTCAGTTGGAGTGTTGTTTAAAAGTAGAGGGCAGGGTTGTAGTATTGGGGGTTCACTCCCATACCAAAGCAGAGCACTATGGAGTGATATTAGTGCCAACAGAAATGTATTCTGGATGAAATCATAGTAAGACCCATAACTGTTAGACATACTAACAGGGCACAGGTGTAAGCGGTGTCAATGTGTGATCTGTAAACTACCCCAAACAGTTGGTACAGTACTCTGCTATACTAACTACATTATAGCCTACTGCTATTCTATCAACCAACCAAGTTGTTTACAGAACCAACATCGGTCCCCCAAAAAACAATGCTACGATAATGCCCAGCGTCGTATGCAGGAGGTAGATCGGCACAGAGCAATCAGTCTAAGATGGACATTTCCTATAATCACCTCCCAATGTCTTTGACTGGGCTGCATCTCTAAAGCAAACACACAGAGAGACACACAGAGACAGGGAGAAGGCAGGGAGAAGATTAGCATGATAAATACACTGCCTCTGTCAAGACGCTGCTGAATCTTAATTTAATCTTAATTTGATTCAACAATCGTGTGTGCATGGTGTGTGTGGGGTATGTGTGTTTGATATGACAGAGGGACAGCGGTCATCCTGTGTGTGTGTGTGTGTGTGTGTGTGTGTGTGTGTGTACACTTATGGTGATTGGCCATGAGGGTGGCAAGAGCGATGGTCTTATCGCCCATCTGGGCGCCGCTCTGGACACCTAATCCTCTCAGACAATATTTACCTGAGTTGACACACACACACTACACACACACTACACACACACAACACACACACACACTGAGGGCACCTACCAACATGATGGCCGCTTTCTGCTGAAAACAGCTGTGTGTGTTTTCAAAAAATTTGATCTGTGGGCATATCTTCATGTCTGTCCTGTCTGTCATGGCTGTCCTGTCTGTCCTGTCTGTCATGTCTATCATGTCTGTCCTGTCTGTCCTGTCTATCATGTCTGTCCTGTCTGTCCTGTCATGTCTGTCTGTACATTTGTGTTTTCATGTTTCATCAATCTCTTTGTGTGAGTGAGTGTTTATTTTTTTATATAAACTGGGTGGTGGCCTTGAATGCTGATTGGCTGAAAGCCGTGGTATATCAGACCTTATAAAAATATTTTGTACTGTTCTAATTAAGTTGGTAACCAGTTTATAACAGCAATAAGGCACTTCGGGGGTTTGTGGTATATAGCCAATATACCACGGCTAACGCACTGTATCCAGGCACTCCGCGTTGCGTTGTGCTTAAGAACAGCTCTTAGCCGTGGTACAGTGGGGGAAAAAAGTATTTAGTCAGCCACCAATTGTGCAAGTTCTCCCACTTAAAAAGATGAGAGAGGCCTGTAATTTTCATCATAGGTACACGTCAACTATGACAGACAAAATGAGAAAAAAAAATCCAGAAAATCACATTGTAGGATTTTTAATGAATTTATTTGCAAATTATGGTGGAAAATAAGTATTTGGTCACCTACAAACAAGCAAGATTTCTGGCTCTCACAGACCTGTAACTTCTTCTTTAAGAGGCTCCTCTGTCCTCCACTCGTTACCTGTATTAATGGCACCTGTTTGAACTTGTTATCAGTATAAAAGACACCTGTCCACAACCTCAAACAGTCACACTCCAAACTCCACTATGGCCATGACCAAAGAGCTGTCAAAGGACACCAAAAACAAAATTGTAGACCTGCACCAGGCTGGGAAGACTGTATCTGCAATAGGTAAGCAGCTTGGTTTGAAGAAATCAACTGTGGGAGCAATTATTAGGAAATGGAAGACATACAAGACCACTGATAATCTCCCTTGATCTGGGGCTCCACGCAAGATCTCACCCTGTGGGGTCAAAATGATCACAAGAACGGTGAGCAAAAATCCCAGAACCACACGGGGGGACCTAGTGAATGACCTGCAGAGAGCTGGGACCAAAGTAACAAAGCCTACCATCAGTAACACACTACGCTGCCAGGGACTCAAATCCTGCAGTACCAGACGTGTCCCCCTGCTTAAGCCAGTACATGTCCAGGCCCGTCTGAAGTTTGCTAGAGTGCATTTGGATGATCCAGAAGAGGATTGGGAGAATGTCAGATGAAACCAAAATAGAACTTTTTGGTAAAAACTCAACTCGTCGTGTTTGGAGGACAAAGAATGCTGAGTTGCATCCAAAGTACACCATACCTACTGTGAAGCATGGGGGTGGAAACATCATGCTTTGGGGCTGTTTTTCTGCAAAGGGACCAGGACGACTGATCCGTGTAAAGGAAAGAATGAATGGGGCCATGTATCATGAGATTTTGAGTGAAAACCTCCTTCTATCAGCAAGGGCATTGAAGATGAAACGTGGCTGGGTCTTTCAGCATGACAATGATCACAAACACCCCGCCCCGGGCAACGAAGGAGTTGCTTCGTAAGAAGCATTTCAAGGTCCTGGAGTGGCCTAGCCAGTCTCCAGATCTCAACCCCATAGAAAATCTTTGGAGGGAGTTGAAAGTCCGTATTGCCCAGCGACAGCCCCAAAACATCACTGCTCTAGAGGAGATCTGCATGGAGGAATGGGCCAAAATACCAGCAACAGTGTGTGAAAACCTTGTGAAGACTTACAGAAAACGTTTGACCTGTGTCATTGCCAACAAAGGGTATATAACAAAGTATTGAGAAACTTTTGTTATTGACCAAATACTTATTTTCCACCATAATTTGCAAATAAATTCATAAAAAATCCTACAATGTGATTTTCTGGATTTTTTTTCCTCATTTTCTCTGTCATAGTTGACGTATACCTATGATGAAAATTACAGGCCTCTCTCATATTTTTAAGTGGGAGAACTTGCACAATTGGTGGCTGACTAAATACTTTTTTTCCCCACTGTATATTGGCCCTAGGAAGAGTAGCAGCTGCCTTGGCAGCAGCTAATGGGGATCCATAATAAATACACATACCACACCTCCTCGTGCCTTATTGCTTAACTATGTTGTTATGTCTGTGTCTGTCTGTACATGTACATCTTTATTTCTTCAGTAGCTGAGTTTGGTGAGCAGTTGATGGTGATTATTTTATAACAGGCCGATGGTAGTCTTTGCTCCAGTGTGTGTGTGTGTGTGTGTGTGCGCCTGTGTGTGTGTGTGCTCCTGTGTGTGTGTGCGCCTGTGTGTGTGTGTGCGCCTGTGTGTGTGTGTGCGCCTGTGTGTGTGTGTGCGCCTGTGTGTGTGTGTGCTCCTGTGTGTGTGTGTGTGTGCGCCTGTGTGTGTGTGCGCGCCTGTGTGTGCGTATACGTATGCCTGTGTGTGTGTGTGTGTGTGTGTCTCCAGCGATCTGC